ACAGAGGCGCGCGAGCCGCTCGGAGCGCCGCGCTGCCTACGGGGCGCCGCAGGGACAAACTAGTCAGGGCGGCTCCGTTCGCGGGTTTTACCTGCGCTGCACTCGCTGCGCTGGTGGAGGGCGGGGCCCCAGAGGAACTGGTTCTCACCTGGGCTCGGGGCAACTTGTGCAATCAAGGCCAAGTGTCAGGCTCCGAGCTGAGGCCCCCGGGTTCCGGAGGATTTTTGTTTGTTTGTTTCAGATTCACGGGTCTAAAGCCAACTCTGAGACTCCTGGGGCAATGAGTGGTGGGGCCTCGCTTCCTGATATTAGTTCTGATGTAGGGCTCATCTGATGCCCGACTAAGAGAGACTCAGAGTCAGAGAGTCTAACTGCAGTGACTGAATTTCCCTAATGTACTATAACCCACAAGAGACTTTTTTTCCCCACCACCAACTACGGATCATATCGCAATTCTCCCATCCATGAGGGCGATGAAGTAGCAATTTGCTTATTCCACCCCTTCCTGGCATATGAATGGCTATATTTAAGATGAAACTACAAAGAAGAAACTTGTCTCTCTCCACAAATGGTTTTGTGATACCTTGGATGCGGAAAGACCCATTTATTAATTTTTAAGTAAAGCCTTTTGGAGCAAAAATTAACCAACAAATGAAGGCAGTGTAGTGCTTTCCAACTCCTGTACCAGCTTGGCAGCTCTTTTGCCCTTTATACCCATTGCAAAAGCAGCTTACAAGAAGAGATATCTTTTTTTTTTTAAAGTGTTGAGGATTATGCTAACTTACTAATTTAGTTAATGTTACTAGCAAGACCAAGATGTTAGGGCCTGGAGGAATTTACAATCCAGTAGGGAAGATAGCACTAACATGGAGTGATTGTAATAAATTTATGCTGCATTGTACAGCAGTATAAAAAGGAGCGGACCAGGAGGATAGAAGAGATCTGAGTTCTGGTGTATCTTCTTTCATTTTCTAGGCTTGTGTTCCTGAACATGCCTATTAACCTCACCAAATCTCTCCTTATCTGTGGAAGGGAAGTAACATTTATCCAACATTCTGACTCAGGGAAATTATAAGGATAAAACGGGGTGGAGGGGATATGGAAGCAGTTTGTACAATACACTTATGAAGAGAATTACCACCACAATGTGCTTGGCATTTATGGGAGGAAATGACCACTTTAAAAAAAATTATTTATGGGGGAAGAGGGGTTTGGTTTATTTATTTGTTTTAATGGAGGTGCTGGGGATAGAACTCAGGACCTTGTGCATACTAAGCAAGCACTCTACCACTGAGCTATACCCTCCCCCAGGAAATGGCCACTTTTAACTAGGGTCATCAGAGAAGGGTTGATGGAGACTTAACCATTGAGATGATCAGTAAAGAATGGGTAAGACGTTTTTAGATGAATGAGGAAGAGGGCTGGAAATTTCAGTTGGAAACAAACACAAAGAAATTAAAAAGGTGGCATGTAGAACTGTGTGAAAAAAAATGCCAAGACTTCAGAAACATGACCTTATGACAGAATTAATTTTCATTAGTCTGATCCATAAGTATCAAGGACACTGGGGAACTAAGTAAATGAATTGGATTGGGACCCACAGGTCATTCATTCATTCATTCACCCAGTCATATATCCAATAAATATGTATTAAGCATCTGTTGGGTATCAGATACTCTACAAGGCATTGGGTATACAGTGTCAAGTAAACAAATAAGTTCGCTGATTCCTTGGAATACACGGACTGTGGGAGGGTTACAGTCTTCCCCAGCAGCTGGGCCCTCGCAGTACAGGCTGCCAGCCTGGAGCAAAGGAGCAAGTAAAGCATGATCAAGGTCAGCCGAGGCTCCTCTCACTGCTGGTCCTGCTCGAGGACTGGAGGGAAGCTTCCAGTGCAGAAGTCAGGAAAAGAGGAGAAAGAAGAATTGGGCAAAAGAATAGCTTGGTGGAGGGGAAGTGGGCTCAGCAGGGACACACCTTGGCTCAGACTCCCACCCACTGAGAGCAGACTGCTGACTGCTTCTAGACTTGCCCCAGTTCCCCTGATGCCTTGGGCATCTCCTCCTACAGCAGCAGCTGTAAAAATCTTCCAGAAAGGCTACTCAGTTCTCAAACTTTGGTTCTTTGCTAAGGTCACCCTCATCAGCACACGCACACACACAAAAAGGATGGAAACAGGAACAAATAAGTCCTCTGTCTCCTCAAAGGGATCTCTTGTTAACTTAGCAAAACTCCCTTCCCTAGCTTCCCTGAGAATGAAGAGGAATCCTTGGGCTTTGGAAGCCCAAATGGGAAGACATATTAAATTTTTATTGGCCTGTTTTTATTAGTTACATCACTTCAGAGATAGGTAATTTATGTTCAATAGACTTCCTAAAAGAAAAGCAGATACTGGTAATACATCTTAGAAATACCTCAGTAAAAAAAATGTTTTAAAATATCCTGGGTTCAATCCCTAGTACCTCCTTTAAACAAACAAACAAATAAACAAACAAACAAACCTAATTAACACCCTCCCTCCCAAAAATAGACATTTGGCAAAAAAAAGAAGTTGACCTTCCTGTGCCTCAGTTTCCATCACTAAAGTGGGAGATGGTAATAGCACCTCCCGTGTGAGAATTACATGAATTAACTCTTGCAAAGCTCTTAGAATATTGCCAGATACCTAGAAAATTCTAAAAAAGTGTTAGTTACTATTTTTCTTAAATCAGCTCTTTCAGCTGTTTGTTTCCTACAAGGATACATTTTCTTCCTCCTGCCCCCACCCGACTGTTGTGTTTGATTTCCATGTGGTTGCCTTGTCTTTGAAATGATGAAACTTGATTAGACATCACACAGCGATAAAGTGAGTGTGGGAGAAAAAGGAGTTGTTTTTACAGAAATGAAATTAAATGCTTTGGAAAAACCTTCTAAAAGCAAGTTACAAAAAAAAAAAGAAAGAAAGAAAGAAAAAAAGCTGTCAAATTGGCAGACTTAAGAGAATTACAAAAATTGAGTGCAGCTCTACACTCAGTTTGCCTTTTGGGAGGGAGGGTAATTAGGTGCTATTTATTTATTTAAATCTTTTTTTTTTTCTTTTAAATGGAGGTACCGGGGATTGAACCCAGGACTTCATGCATGCTAGGCACACACTCTACCCCAGAACTATACCTTCCCTCCTCAGTTTGCTTTCAAAATGTCATGTTCCCTCTTTATTTTAGCAAACCCAAATTAGTAATCATAGAGGATAGATGATCAATATGGAAGAAACTGAGGCAAAACTGAATCAGAGGACTGACACCCAAGTAAGAGCCTTTGGCCCTGTAGATAAACACAGAGTACATCATGAACAAACAGACTGGATACAGTGTATGTCTGTTGTATTAACATTTCAAAGGTGGTGGGGGAGGGTGTTATTAGAAAAAAGTCTAAAAAAGCTCATTAAGGGAAATAATAAGTAAAAAAGTTGTGAAACTGATTTATAAGTGATGTTTAAAAAAATAATGTTTAAAATATGCATCATTACTGTTATGATCCAGATTTAATTCATTTTTCAATGAATCCACCAACCACCACGCTGGTCTGGTCAGAAAAGAGGGCTGTACTGTGACAAAGTGCAGTGGGCACAAAGGAGAGGGGGCAGAAAATACCCAGGCAGGAGTCGGAGAAGCCAGTGCTCAAGCTGACCATGGAAGGGTGAAAACCAATTTGCTGGGTTGGTTAAGAATGAAGCCGGATTGGGGAAGGAGGTAGGAGACAGCATGGTCCATGAACAGTACTGCAAATCATTCAGTTTTGTTAAGCTTTAAATAGGAAGGCAACAAAGATGGATAAGGGTGGACAGACAACCGGACAAAGGCCAGATAGTGAGCAGCTTTATTTAATAAGCAAAGGCACTTAGAATTTCTCTTATAGGTGAAGGCAAGACATCAAAAAATGTCAAATGTGGGGGTGACATGATCAGATCTACATGCTAGGAAGATCGTTCTGGTAGTGATGCGGGATCAATGGGCCAAAACTGGAGGGGGGACATCAACAAGAAAGTTACTGCAACGGCCTGAGTAAGAGATGTTGAGGCTTGAACCAGGACAGTGGCAGGGACTTGGTACTGGGTGGTGTGTAAACTCTTTTGGCTTCCTTCCTACATTCCCACCCAACAAAGACCAACAAGGATTGACTCTGTCCTCTACTCTCAGGGTGGGCCCATCATTGTAGCCACGGTGCTTGTTTCAGGGATGGGCACGTAGCCCTTCGGGGATGCTTGGGTTATTGGAGAGGTTTGCTGGGTGCTTCAGGGAAAGAAGCTTCCTCTCTGTTGGGCTGGACGTGAGAAGAGAAGTGTGAAGCCTTAACAGTGGTTGGCAATCATTTGACAACCATGAGCTCGAGTGACCAGTAATTTATCATCCATTTGGATTTTATCATCAATCAGATGATTAGGTTTTTAAAAAGACTGTTTGTCACTGTGTGATTCACTTGGATATTTGCAAAAATGTTCATCCTTTGGGACTTAGGTAGGACGACAATGAAATGCTCTGCCTTAATGATACTCACTGAGCCACCTGTGACAAGGAAATACAGCTGAAGAGTGATTTCAGGACTGTATGCCTCATCCTACAGAAGATTTTAAAAACAAAGAAATGAATCTGAAGGAAGTCACCCGGGGATAAGCCAAACCAAATCGTGTTTTCATTTTTTTTAATTGTTTTTTTTTAATTGTGTTTTCATTTTTTTAACTTCAACATGCCTTTGCAGTTGACTGACTGCCAATAACTGGAAAGCTGGGTTTGGCTTAAGTCAAAGACAGTAAAATAAGTGCCCTTCATGGAGGTGTCCAGTGTCTAAACGTGGAAATGGGTATCAGTGTCCTGTAGATTTGTCTAATGGTCACCGAGGGCAGCATCTGCTGCTCAGGTGCCAGCGAGAGATAATCCCATGAAAGGAAATCTGGCACCAGTACCCATATGTTATTTTCTGGATCCAATTTACATTTTGTGCTTTTGTCTAACTGAGCCAAAACAGCATACGCCGTGCCAAACCCGGTTTTCTGATTATTTTCAGGCTGATTGAATCTGGCGTATGACATGGTTTTATCTAATTAACCCACATGTGGTACAAAACAAAACAAATTTGAAATGGAAAGCTCTTTCTGCCTCTACTGAAAGTCTGAGGTGAATATATAATTATTTTGTCCTCCTCTCTCAGCCAAGTTCACAGTTGAAAGAGGAGGTCTTTTATCTACTCAATAGCAAAACAAATTCTTCTCTGTCTTACCTGCCTATTTTCATTACAATTTATTGTGTTTTACACTTTCCCAAATCCAGCCCTTCCTTTGTCTCTCTCAGTCCCCAAAGGAGGAGAAATGTATGGAAGATATGTTCCCAACTGTGGTATGATAAGAAATGTATTTGATCTTTGTCCCTAGTTCCTAGCACAAAGGTTTTTAAACCGTTGGAATTTCCAGCTAGAAGGGCCTTTTGCTATTTCTAAGGAGCTCCTTTTGAGCACATCTTGTTGTTGGCATTTTGGTGCATTTTAGGGTGGGTCCCCTCTGTGGCCTCAGTCTGAATGCAGATGGTCCAAGTGATTAGAAAGTTGGAACATTTTGCTCCCCTCCCCCTCCCTGCTACTTCTGGGGATGAGAAGGGCAGGCTGCAGATTAAGCTCTATAAAAACTCTTTAAACAAGGAGATTTGATGAGTTTCCAGGTTGGTAAACTCAGCCACAAGCCTGGAGGTGGTGCCCTGCTAGTTCCCAGGTGACAGAAGCTCCTGAACTTGAGACTATTCCAGACCTCACCCTGAAACAGGAAAAACGGGTGTGAGGTGTGAGGAGGGCCATGTCCCAAGTCTTGGCTGAGTCCCTGGGACGTGCCCCACCAAGTGTGGGTCCTTGCATTCATGTAGGAAAGAATTTAAGAGTGAGCCACAGTTGAGTAATGGTAGATTTTGTTAGAGAGATACATGCTGCATAGAGTGTAGGCTGTTTCAGAAGGTGAGAGAAAGGCCACAAGGTGTGGGGGTTGGATGTTCAGACTGAAGTAGAAGTAGGTACGCACTCCATAGACAGAGTGTGGGCTGTCTCCGAAGACGAGGGAGGGAGAGAGGTGGTGAGGGGCAGTGTTGCCAGTTTTTATGAGCTTGGAAGCTTCACATGCCAACAAGTGTGAAGACTATTCCAACTACCCTGGGGAAGAGTCTGGGGTTCCCAGGAGTTGGGCCAGCGCCCACTCTTTGACCTTTTATGATTAGCCTTGGGACTGTCATGGTGCCTGTGGGCAAGGTATTCACCATGCTAACATATTACAATGGCTGTATATTGAAGCTCAAGGTCACTGGAAGTCAAATCTCCCTCCATCTTGAGCCTCAATGCCTACTGGGAGTTGAATCTTCCACCATTTTGGTGTTAATGTTGTGTCATTCTTTGAATGGCTGTGCGCTGCCCCCTTCCCTCCTGTCTCAACCCTATTACCTCTTCATCTGGCTATTTTTCGGTATCCTTTATAATACCCTCGATAATAAAGTGGTAAATGTAAGTAACTGTTTCTTTGAGATCTGTGGGTCTCTCTAGCAAATTAAGCAAACCCATGGAGGGGGTTGTGAGAAGCCCCAGTTTATTAGCCAATTGGTCAGAAGCACAGGTCACCTGAACTTGCAGTTGGCATCTGGGGAGATGGGGGTACAGTCTTGTGGGACTGAGCCCTTAACCTGTGAGATCTGATGCTATCTCTGGGTAGTGTCAGAACTGAATTAAATTGTAGGACACCCAGCTGGTGTCACAGAATTGCTTGGTGTGGAAAAATCCTGCTCTCTTTCGGTCTACACACATGCACACACACAGACATATACACATTTGGTGACCAGAAGTGTCAGAAGTGAAGCGTTCTGTATGAACAAAGAAGAACAAAGAGTGTTGCTCACCACCAGTTTTACAAAGTTCTAGAAGGGTTAAGTTGTAACCCACTGCACTCGCTGAGGGACAGTGCGCGGAAAGGAAATTAAGACTATATAACAGGACGAAGCCCTCTGTGCTTTGGACAAGCAGGCACCTTAGATAGTTAGATGCATATCTCAGGAAGAATTTTAATGACCTCAGGCTCTTGCCTTTTCCCATACACAGAAAAGCATTAAAATCATTAACTTGAGATATTTGTTCTTTGTAATTAGCAGTAGTCTCTTACCTAGATGTATGCTTGATTGCACGCATTTCCTAGTTAAAACATCATATATAAAGTGACTTCTCCCCCACCTCTTTGGAGCAGTTTCCTCAGAGCTAACTAACACTGGTTGTCTTCTGGGCTCTAGTCCTCAGCAGGACCTTGAATGAAACTTGATGAAATAAAATTCATGTTTTAGGACAAGACAAGAAAAATTTAAACATAAAATTTGAGCCTCCTCCTTCCCCTTTAGTGAGTCTTGTGCATCTACATTCACTAAATCTCCTTAGGAGATAACATTTCCTTTGTATCTCATCAACGGTCACAACTTTTTAGGAGACAGCTTCCTTCTTAATCTTGTGAGGGGCCACAAGGACCCTTGACGCACTAGTCACTTTTCACATGTAGATCCGGATTGTGTAAACTGTCAATAATACGTCATTTTATCCCTTTGTCTCAAAAACTTACATAACTGTGTTTTGACCTCTAACTGGTGGAAGAGTCCTCAGAGCTCTCTGAAAGACTGTCTCCATGGTTACAATCCCCAGGTTGCCTCAAATAAAACATTCGGTGTTCTTTCTTAGATTGACTATTGATTAATTTTTTCATTAACAAACTCAAACTCACAACTCTTCTGTTGTTTGTCTTTCTGCAAGTCCACATGTGTGAGCGGTAAAGGAGAAACACACAGGAGTGTTTTTTCCTTTATACTAATAAACACATGAGCTTGTAGGGGAGAAGAATTACTCTCCCCACCAAATATGTCTCATGGCGTATTAATTATCTTAAGCTGATTATTTTCTAAGAACGAGCAGACTGGGAAGAACTCTAAAAACCAAGTAGGTGGTACTCTTTTGTAAGAGATGTTTACATTTGTAAAGGAAATCTCCATTTGAAAGGGTGTCTCCCTCTGTTCCAGAAGATGATCAAATCTCCAGAAGCTCTTACAAGTGAGGAAAGAAATGACAAATCTGCATCACAATCACCTTTATTTGCTGTGCTTTTCCTGGCAACCTCCCACAACTGACTCCCTCACCCTCTACATCCTCTTTCATCTTTACCTAAGGATGATATTTAAGGTGAGGACTTTGGTCATTTTGACAAGTTACTCATTTTTTTCTGGTTGTCTCCCATGTATATATGTTATTAAACCTTGTTTGATAGTCTCCTGTTAATCTATTTCAGGTCAATTTAATTCTTAGATCAGCCAGAAGAACCTAGAAAGATAGAGGAAAATTTTTTCCTCCCCATCAGGCTGTTGGTTTAAAAAAAATCTTAAAACTGGATAAGAGAGTCTATCATATTTTGAAGAAGAATGTTAAGCAAAGTAGAAGTTTAACTATCAATCTAGTGTTGTAATTCTCCCATCCTTGTTATATCATGAAATAGTGGTCTGCATGCAGGCATCACATGCCTCATCAAGAATTGTGTCAGAATGCCTCATACATGGTGAGCACAGTGGTACTCAATACTGTTTTGTGTTGATGGCAGTAATAACATTGGTAGAGCAGGAAGTGGTACATAGCCACCATTTTTAAAGAGAGAACTAGTCTCTAAAATGATGCTAAAAAATAAAATGCACGTTAAACAAATCCTCTAGATTTGGGGGGGGGGGATATGCCAGGGGTAACTTGGTTGGCATGGCCACCATGGAAGGTGGGGTCTGGGTTTAGTGCGTGCGATGGGGTCAGGGGTGACGGGAACTCAGCCAGTGCAACCCCTGTGTGCTGTGAGGCTGAGGAGATGACCCACACGGTGAGGAGTCCTGTGAACATATGAGGAGACTGAGCAAATAAGTACATGCTTTAAAGATAAGGGAAATCTGGTTATTCATTTCTGAAGGGATCTGAAAAAGGAGAGATTAGAAAATCCCTGTGGTATTTTGATTGGAAGTAGTGTAAACCCATAGTTTTATATTTATATCATTGTCTATCTGTGTTAGTTTCCTATTGCGGCTGTGAACGAAAAATACTGCAAACCATAAATCATATCAGTAAACAAAGAATGCTGAAACCATCAGGTCATCAGCGGCTGCTGTCACCCCCCAGTGAAGACAAGCCTGCAGCCCGGCCTCTGCAGCCACTCACAATGGTGCACCCTGAGGGCACTCAGAATAAGAAGGGACAGGATGCTGGCCCTAGACAGCTAGGTGCTTGTCAATGGAATGAATTCAGTGGGCCCAAATGTTTGCTTCCTCCCATACATAGAAAAGCGCTAAATCCTTTAACTTGAGATGCCTGGTTTTCTTTAGTTAGCAAGCAATCTTTTAATGTTCCAACTGTCTGGTCTTTGTTGTAAAGCTCCTATATATCCTAGCTCCTCCCCTACCTCTTCAGAGCAGTCCCTCAGAGCATCTGAGAGTCTGTCATCCCAGGCTCAAAGTGGTTCGAGTCCTCAGAAATGTCCGCCAAATAAAACGTAACTCTCAATTTTAGGCTGTCAGTTAATTTCAGTCAACACTGCTGTAATGAATTACCACAAACTGAGTGGCTTAAAACACCTACTTATCAGCCCACAGTTCTGTAGGTCAGAAATCCAAGTGGGCTTGGCTGGGCTCTCTGCTCAGGGTATCACAAGACCAAAATCAAGGTGTCTTCCGGCTGGGCTCCTACCCAGGCTCTGGGAAAGACTCTGCCTCATTCAGGTTGTTGGCAGAATTTGGTTCCTTGCAGTTGTAGGACTGAGGTTCCTGTGTCCTTTCTGGCTGTCAGCCGGGGCCATCCTCAGCTGTTGAGACTACCTGCATCCTTCAACATGTCGTGCTGTTACCGAACAAAAGTTTGTGTGCCTGACACACAGTGAGGCCAAACAAACCGAAACATCAGAGTTTGGAGCAGAGAAAGTTTGATTGCAGGGGTGAGCAAGGAGGACAGGATGGCTTCTGCCCAAGAAAACCCTAAATTCCCCAATTGTTTT